ACTTTTACAGCAGCAACATGCAACTCTAGGACAACCACACCATAAAGAATAGCAAGTGGGATTTTCAATTGTGAGCAGTCGGTTAACCTTCACCATCATCTTCATTTTTATCTTCCAAATAGTGCAATAACAGCAAACAGTGATGTCTCCAACAGCCGCACGTCCAAGTAAATTTCCTTGCTTCCTTGTAAAATAATTAATTGGCTACTATTTCATGCATACGTGAACCAATAACGCATGCGTGCAACAGTGGCCAGCCGGGTCACTGGTTTGGACCAGTGGCCCGACCCTTTTTTTTAAGTTTTAAGACTGGGCTATATAAATAAAAAATAAAAAAATAGTTTTCATTTCTTTTAATACAGAATTTTACAGATTTATTCACTGGCACTAGAATCAAGAATACCATATTTTTTAGGTTACATTATATTTACCAACGCTAGAGTTGGAAATATTCATAGGTGAATATTCACTAATACCATAGTTGAGAATATTATAGGATGACCAATAAAAGTGAAACACAAACAAATCTTTAGCAATTTAAGATAAAACCAGCAATTCAGCTTGCCTCAGTAAGACGCTTAAAAGGTAATAGTATCTTCCCTTTCGCGTAACCAATTTTTTACCATAAAATCTTTGTTAACTAGTTAACTAGTTAGGATTCCTAATGACCATAATACTAGGTGGCAACTCCTTAAACAGGATATTTTTCCCCAAAAGAACAAAATGTCAGATATTTGTTCTTTTTCCAATCAAGAGATGAATTTTTAATCGGTCGTCGCGATGTCCGCGTATGACAAGATCTATGAACTTTACCAAGCCCCACCTACCATTACCCTTTCACATCCAATATCTTTAGTCCCTATTACCATTCTCACCTACACATATGTTAAACCTATCAAAGTCATAGCCTTATTTGACATAGAAGCCCACAAAACCATTCTTAATCTTAAAGTTCTTCCATCTCATTGTTGGGTCCCTTATAAAGAATACTTTTGAGCCGTAGATAATTAAGTATTATGCACCTAATTCAAAAATAAAAAGCTTATTACCATACAAATCCTACCCTAATTTTTAGTTAAAACCCATGTCCTTAGTTCTTCTATACCTAAAAAAGATTTAGTTATTAGGTTTGATATTTATTTCAAATTCAAGTTCAAAATCCTTCCTCGTGGTATTCAATATAAAGCTCATTTTCTCTCATATACAATTATCCTTTCACTCTATGAAATCCAACCTTCTCTTAAAGAAATCATTGTCTTCATCAATGCCTAAATTATCCAACACTCATGTTCAAACTCTCATCATGAATTTCTTGCTAAATGTTCTGATCCTTTATGGCAAAATCCATGATTTTTTTTTATTAAGCTTCCTTTCAAGCATAATAAAGACATCAATCTCATGAAAGCCAACCATTCAGGAATGAATCCTGAGCACAAGATTCTAGCTCAAGATGAATGTGCCCAATTACAAGCTTAAGGTCTTATTAAACCTATAGACTTATAATGGTCTTATGAAGCCTTTTATGTTAATAAAAGGTCTGAACAAAAATAAGACAAGCTCAAGTTGGTAATTAATTATCAGCCTTTGAATCATTTTCTACAAGATGATAAGTTTCCATTGCCAAATATAATGACATTATTCTCATACCTTCATAATGCCAAATTTTTCTCCAAGTTTGATCTCAAGGCGAGATTTTGGCAACTCGGCATTTATTTGAAAGGCAGACATAAAACATGTTTCTGCATACCAGACCATCATTATCAATGGCGAGTCATGCCTTTTAGTCTCAAAGTGGCACCCTTATTATTTCAAAAGGCCATGATTAAAGTATTTGAACCCATACTTCGATTAGCTTTAATCTACATTGATGATGTGTTACATTTCTCCCAAGATAAGGAGTCACATGCTACTTTGTTAAAGCAATTTATAGAGATTGTTCACCACCATGGTATCATGCTTTCTGAAAGCAAGATACTCATCTATGAAAATGAAATCTAATTTCTCGGCATGATCTTTGCAGATGGTGCTTATACACCTAGCACCCATATAGCTAAAGAACTCTAAAAGTTTTCAAATGGCCCCTTACGATAAAGCAAGTCTAATGATTTTTGGGCATTGTCCAATATCTCAGAAATTTTATCTCTAGAGTTGCACAAATGACAAAGTCATTTTGGCTCATGCTCAAGAAAGATATGGACTCTTGGATAAAAAAATAGACTCACTCAAGTTGTCAGATAATTAAAGACAGTCATATAAAATTTACCTGCTTTAGTCATCCTATCAACAGGATAGCACATCTCAAAACTGATGTCAGTGACAAGTATTGGAGTGCTACACTCTTAGAAGACAAAGATGGTCACCGACACATATGTGGCTACAAAAGTAGGTCATTCAAGGAGTTAAAAACCCACAACCACTCCATCTTTAAAGAAATCTTAGCTGTAAAGTATGACATCCAAAAATTTAAGTTTTATTTGGCAGCTTATCACTTTACAGTTGTCATAGACTATTCCTCCTTTTAAAAAATGCTATAGTTTAAACACAAGATGCTTCCTCATTCATAGCTTCTGAGATTAGCTGAGTGGTTTTTCAAGTACACCTTTACCGTCTAGCATATAAAAAAAATCAGAACTTAATCCCAGACATGCTCACCAGACCACACAAATCATTAACACTACTCCTTCCCATCATTCTAATGCCTTTCTCTTCCAATCTACCTCTACCTGAACAAGACTTTCGTGTAAATGACTTACCTCCTCTTTCTTAAGAAATGGTTCTTAACCATATTCTTGACCTGCAGGTAAAAGACAAATTATTTAGCCTCCAAAACTACCTTCTTCTTAACTATGATATATCTTTCCTTTGTTTCCAAAGCTTAGGCATTCTTCTGAAATATCCTTTTCTTATGGTATTTCTATTAACTATACCATATTGCTATCGAGTTTCTCACTGATTTTATTCTTTCCAAATTTCTCAAGACGTCTTAGTCTGCCGACTCTTGGTACTATACTTTAAAGTTCCTCACTTGGTTCTATAATCCCACATAATGGATCTTTCTTCTCCAACAAGAAAAATCCAAATGGCCCCATGCACAACCTGATAGATAGAAGTAACGCAGTACATTTCATAATAAATCTGTTAAGTAAGTTTTTTCCCATCTGTTCTCTATTTTCATATTCCACAGGCCTTTCAAAGCTTCAACAGACAATTTGGTTATGAATTTTTCATAGGCTATAATATACAAAACTCATCCATACTCCCTGTATAAAAACCTCTTATATAACGTCCCTAACATTAGGACCTTGCAGAAAACAGTGTGCCTTAATAACAACATTATTCCTGGTAAAATATGGCCTAAAGGAATGGATGATGATGTAGAAATTAACTATGATTTGAATGACCCTCAATATTCTACTCATCTTTGTAACTTGCAGATGTAGTACAAAAACCAAAAACTCAAACAAATAATTTTGGGAATACAAAAGCTTCTACAACCATATAAGATGGAAATGATTACAAATGATGATTATGTGTTGGCCCTACAAGTCCAAACTATTCGTGACCAAGATAGCCTATCATATCAGAATCTCTCTCCAAATCATGAACCTATTATCGGTTGACATTAGTGTTGTCATAGCTTGTCGTTTGTATCATAAGTCATGTAAGGATGCAATTATTAAGTGTGCTTCACTACTTTCTGTTGTATTGAGTGATGTAAGCAAAAGCCTCAAAAATAGTATCTATAAAGGTTGTATGTAATGTTGTAAGACAGAACCTTGGGAGGGTAGACCTTGAAGGAGAAGCTTTTTCAATAAAGAACTAGTTTTCTAATTTTCTGTTCTTCAACCCCTTTTTCCCTTTTTACATTTTAAACTATAAGCTTTTGTTATCGTCCAGTAAAACATGACTCCAATGAATAGCCGTTGAGTGCCCAGAAGGTTGGCTGTTTAAGCTACTTTATCAGAGTATATATCTTACAATAGAATAATTTACTATTATATAAGTAACAATAGAATAATTTACATGAATGTGCCTAAAAACCAAAGAAAAGAAAATAAAAGAAATACTAGTTTAAAATTGGCAAAAGAATTGTAGTTTTTATGAAACTCACCCTAAATCAAAAAGAAATTTTAATTATAAACTGCCTGAATTTCATTTGTAATTGGATAGCAAGTTTTAACTATACATCTATAAGATATTTGATAATTCTAAATTACAGATTTTATTTTATACTTTTATTTATTTATTTTTCCCTTAAAGAATAAAGTGAATGCGACAACTCACACTACACCAACCTCATTGTCCTTATCATATTAAAGTATCTATGTAATCACATAAAAAATCTAAAGATTTCATTTCGGGGTTTGAAGTTTAGATTTTAAAGTTTAAGGCTAGTTTTTAAGGTTAAGAGCTTGGAGTTTGGATTTTAGGGTTAGTATAAATTTAATATTAAAGTACAATGAGTTTTTCAAAAATGTTTTTTAATTGAAAATGTGTTAAAATTATATTTTTATTTTTATTTTTTGATATCAATATAGCAAAATCATATAGAAAGCATCTATTTGATGTTTTTTAGATGAAAAATAATTTCAAAAGCATTTTAAAAAGCCTATTATAATGGTAAAAAAACATTGCCTAATGTTTATTGTTTGGGGCTTCCATTAGGGTAGCATTGGTTTGGGATTTAGGTCACGGTGAATGTTTGAGTTTGAATTAGGATAAAAGTTATAATTAGGGTTAGGGTTAAGGGCTTGGATTAGGATGAGGATATTTTTTAGATGTTGTATTTAAGGTTAGCTTGGTATTTGGTAAATGTCATAGTTTCTCAATACAAACATCTTTAAAATTTACATTCACGAATCATAATATATTTTAAACTGTATTATTTCAATAATTTTTTTTGTTATTTGGCCAATATTTTTTTAAAAGGTGCTAATAAGTAAAAATACCTTTAAATATTTTGACAATTTCCTGAAAACACTTTGAAAATTATCATTTTGATTTTTTTTAATTCAAATATATTTCGGAAAGTATCTTAAATATATTGAAATACTTAAGCATTTTTATCTATCTTGATTTCTTCCACTTATTTGAATTTTACATCAATTCAGTCAACTTCAATATTAATTTGGAATCGTAATTAGAATTCCAGGACTATATTTATTTATTTTCTAACTGAACCAGGAAAATTCTACCATTTTAATTTTAATATATTTCCTGAATTCCACATTTCACCACTTAAGGTCGGTCACGTGCACTCTCCACAACTTTTGGTGAACATTAAACGTAGCGAAGCCTAGGGAACTGCAGTTAGCCACATTCACTATAAAGCCTAAAGGACAATGTGTAGCATCATCAGACTGTAAAGTTTCACATCTGAACTTCTTCATTAACACCACCATGGCCTCTCTCTCTGAATTCTGCTCCCACCTCCATACCATGATCATAGTCTTCCTCAGTCTTCTACTCGTTGAAATTGTAATTCTTTTCCGGTCGGTCATCGGTAGTACCTTGAAGTTCAATAAACCAATAATTAGCACCACTCAGTATCTTAAACACATGGAAGAAATAAATCCAACTATTTCTTACAGTGAAAAATTGACGAGGCAACAAGATTCCATGGAATGTGCAGTCTGTTTGTCTAAATTTTCGGAAGGCGAAAGTGTGAGGAAATTGAATTGCAAACATACATTCCACAAGGATTGCTTAGACAAATGGCTACAGCAATCTTTGGCTACTTGCCCACTTTGCAGGGCTAAGGTTTTGCCAGATGAGATTGTAGCCAAGTATGATCGGATGCAACATCAGATAGGGTATGATGGGAGTGACGAGGAGATGCCCTTTTTGCTATCGGCACTATATGATAATGGTCTGCAAAGAATCTCTTAGTCTGTAAGTCGTGTTGGACAAATTACTTGTTCTTATATTTTATAAACCACCATATAGATGCATTTCACTATGAACTTTAGTGGATGAGTTTCTTTAGATTTTCTCCTATAATTCAAATTTACTATGCTACTGTATGCTTATACATGTAATTAAATTTATTGTGGAAATCAAATGAAGGTCTTTTCAAATGTCCTATGCTGCAAAACTTTTTAGTATATCCATAATCTCATCTCATGGGAAAGAAAAAGGAGAAAGCTTCGATTTTGATGCGGACCCGCATTCTTTTTGTTGTTGTTCGTGTTTGTGACAATAGTTCTGTACTTCTTTTAACAGTATAAACATTTGTTTTTTGAGTTTGTTTTACGTTGTATTAGTGGTTATTTTTTAAATAATTTTTTGTATTAAAATATATATTAATAATATTTTTTTATTTTTTAAAAATTATTTTTAATATCAAAACAATCCAAAACATACAAAACATATTAAATTTTAACAAAACACAAAAAAAATTATTTTTTTAAAAACACAGATTGAACCACATTCCTAAACGATTTCTTATTTTCTTATTGGGTCTTGGAAAATTCCGAGCATATCTATCCCTTCAATATAAATGTAAAGGGGTTGCAATTTTCTGGTGCAAATTAGATGAAGCTCCATGTTCGTTGGATGCCATCTACCTCAAAACTTTCTATATGTAGTAGTAATATCCTTCTAAAAATTACTCTAATATTGGCTTATCTTTTGAATTTTCTTCCAATCTGCAGCAAAACGATGGCGACAGATTGGGTACCAACTTACTTCGCATAGCCGAACCCGAAACACCTGTGGGTAGCATAACTTGTTTAACAAATTATATATGCAACTAAGAATCTAAAATCCTTGATATTAATTACAAAATATAAGAATGAAATTGCTAATGTTGATAAACGATTATTTTATACCAGGTACCAAGCATCCCATATCAGCTTTCCTAAACCTGTTATTTAAACATGATGAAATTTGTGTCTTTTAATACCATATCGGATATGGTCGTGAAACCTTTAAGAATGGGGTTGTTTTTTTTTATTATTATTATTATTATTAATGTAAGTATTCGGTTTAATTTGTGTATATATCGGTTAATTTTACGAGTCTTAAAATTAATAACTATATAAATCTTAAATAACCCTGAGATTTTTAAAACTTAAACCGATTGCATATAAATAACAAATTTAAAATCTGACCAATTAAGTTATATCTATTAAAATTTAAAATTTAAGTAAAGTTGATTTTTTTTTTAGATTAACGTGGGTGTCCGGGCCAGCTTGCGCGCACCACGACTAATCCCATAGGCCCTGAAGTTAACGACCATGTAAGTCTCCAGTGGCCATTATATGAGCAACCAAGGACTTGAACCTGAGACCACAGAGGAAGCAAATCTCTTAGTCTTAAATCTTTACCACTTGGTCACCATCTAGATGGTTGGTTACATGGCTGAGTAATGGTGCTAACTAGATTTTTTGATGTACCTTAAATGCTGACCCTCCGATAATTAATCTAATATGAGAATTAAAGAGTTTTGTCTGACAAGAAAATGACATGGTAATATAGCTATTAAAGAAATAAGAAGAGAGAGGATGAGTGAGGAGGTTGTTGGACTTAAATCCTAAGCCATAATGTTGTTTCTATAGCAACGAGTCTTTAAAGTTGCATGGAAAGATCGGTAAAATTGATTAGGAGATAAGTGTTTTTCATGTAGATGGATCAATATAAAAAAAATTGGAAAATAAAAATAAAAATGCTGATAAAAAATATTTTTTCAGTATTTTTCAACATAATTTGCGATAAAAAATTACATCATCAATTACCAATATAATTTGAATACCAATTAATTATCCTGATAAATCAATGGGGCTCTCTAGGGTTCTCATATATCCTATATAGATAAATCAATACTAATTTGGATACCAAATAATTATCCAGATAGGGTTTAACTGGATGCAGCATTCGATGTGTATTTAAAATTTACCATTAATGTTCAGTGCTGGTTTGTTAATTCATAACTTAAATATGTATCTTGGTAGATATGTTTGGTGATCAAATTTATAGATGGTTAAGGCAACCAGAAACGCCTGAAGTTGGTGGCAAGATTAAGTGTATCCTCCACAATCTCTGTGGCTTTTCCCTTGCTTATTCTAGGCCTTTTGGAGCCCAAACAGACAAGAATGCTTTGAGTTACAGAAGCAGCAGATTAATATACCATTTATACAATGATTTGTCCGGTACATGGTGGCGGAAAATCTTGAAATACAGGGTGGGAGAACCAAAATCGAAGAAGCTATCCTAGAATGCAATGTCTTGTTTCATGATCTTGCACTATCCTTCTTTGCTTGATTGGAAACAAAGAAATAATACATACTTGAAGAAATCTGATGGGGGTGTGAAGCAATCTGAAAAACAGACCGCCTGTCTTATTTGATGGCGAAGACTTAAAGAGGGGTGGATGAACACGTTTAACACCGTTCGTAAATTTATGGCGCATTTGCTTGAGACTTTCAACAGTACAGAAATGTTAAATATGTTTCAAGTTCGTTTAATTACCTGGAGGCATGCTAAGGGATTAGGTGGGCACTACTACTTCATGTCAAGATTCTATTAATATTTTTTGATTAATTTTATATAAAAAAATTGTAATTTTTAATTAAGTTATTAAAAAATAATGAAAATTTATGTGAACTCTTATAATATAATACTTTAATTTGGGTTAAAATTTCAGAATTTTTAAAGAAATTCATAAATTTTATTGAAATATTATAATTTGACCAGTTTTATATTATTGGACATAATTTTCAATCCAACCATCAGATTGAGCTGAAATTTCAGAATATATTGAATAAAATTATGTTAAAATTTTAGAATAAACGGAACTTGATAGTGCTAATAAAAAAAACCTTCAAATAAAAGTAAAACAACTCATTAAGGATAAAATAATTATTTGTCATTAAAAAAACAAATCAGCTCGTTTTTTCTTTTATATGTTGCCTACTGGCAAGAAGAAGAATAGGAAAAGAAAGAAAAGAAAAGGCGAGAGAGAAAGTGAGAAAAATAAGGGAAAAACATTAAAAAAATCTAAAGAAAAAAAATAAGAAAAGTGAAATAATAACATTGTAAACTTATAAAATACAACTTATAAAATACTAATTAAAAAAAGAATCAAGTGAAGGAAGGAGGAATTGAGAGAGGAAAAAAATTTAATTATTTTGTTTTTCAGTTGACATGAAATTGTTATTTTATCCCTGTTGAGAGGTTGGTACAATATCGATTTAGATTCGATTATAGATAAATTATATTACATAAAATATCGAATGATGTAACTTCAATAATAGATTTATTTTTACATTCACTTTAATTTTATATACTTTTAAATTTATTTTTTTATTTTTAAATAATGTATTTGAATTTAAACTTTCCTATTAACTTTAAAAATTCTTATACATAAATTAGTAATTAAGCTTAAAAAAATTATATATTTATTTAATAGGTGAGGATAAGAAAAATTATTTGCTCCGTCATTGATTACACCAATCAAATTTTCATTTGCATAAATTGAAAGTCATGTGTTGAAACGCTAAACCTAAAGTCGTTGGTTTGATATTCTGTATTTAATAATCAATCAGTCACTACTTTTTTCTTTGAGAAGACATCACCTGTGGATGAGCTTTGAAAGCTATCTTATTTCTTGTGACGAGTCAGCTATCCAACAAGTGAAAGATAAACATGACTATTAAACAAATTATTTGTTTTCCTCTTCTTTCATTGTCATCTACTGCTTATAAATGTCACCTACTTAGCTGAAAATTCTTTATTGGAATGAAGAATCCATCCGATGTCTTGAATGTTCTTCACTCCCGCGCGTATACATAATAAGTCTTGGAGGTTTTATCCATAAGAAATACAAGAACTCGATAAACGAGATCATCATTGATCAGAGAAACAACTTAGCATAACATTATTTTGCCTACAAATAGATTTCTGTGCAAGGAATCAAACAACAAACAGAAGAAACATCAAACTATTATCAAAATTCCAAAACTGGAAGATAACAGTAAGTTATGGACTTGAAATGGTTTCTTGTGAGAGTTTAGAGCTGTGTGTTTTTAAAAATCATAAAAACAAGAACTTTGCAGTCTCCTAGGCTTTTTAGTATGGCCTTTTGAAAATAGCTTTTGATAGTGACATAATATTTATTTTGTATTGTGCATATCAAATAACAGTACTACAAGACCCGTGTATAGCTATCAAACTCAGATTTACAAGGAAGGAAAATATATAAATTTAATGATCATGAATCATCTATAATAAACAATAATAAGTATGAAAGCTAAGTATAATAATATCTCCTTCAAACTCGGGACAATAAGGTCCTTATGATCTTAGTTTGGATGCTAAACCTTGAAAGTAAACAATGGGCAAGTACTCTGTGAAGATAAATACAAGCTAATCATAGGGGATAAATGTACATTACGATGAGTGATATTTTTTCAGACAAAATGACAATCATTTCCAATGTGTTTGGTTTACTCGTAAAAAACATTATTATGATAAATTTGAATAAATATAGTTGCATAATAAAGTTGTATTCCCAAATCTTTTAAAAGCCAATGCAACCAAAGAATTTATGTTGTCGTCTACCTAATGACTATTGTTTGCTTCTTACTATACATGCCAAGAAATGAAAGAATCGTCTAAGAAGAAACAATAACTACAGGTGCCATAAGGGATATTTCAGCAAGATGATTAGGATTGATTGGGTAAAATAAAAAAAGAAGTTGATAGAGAGTTTTATGGTAACTATAAATACTAATCAATATTAAAAAATTATAGGTAAGGATTTGAAAATCACACTAAAATATATTACCTAAGATAAGTTGATTTGCATTTCGTTATAAGAAAATCAATAAATATAAATGAAAATACCAAGGGAATATTTCCCTAAGTAAATTACTAATGGATTTTCCTGACGGATATATTTCCTTAGTAATTATTGAGAGAATTATAATGAGAAAAAATAATTAAAACAAAACAAAAAAACGATGACATGCCACTTTTTACCAACAAAATTTATTTCGTCT